TGTGTTTGTTTGCTTAAAGTTATTCAACACTGAGCAGAAAGTGGCTTAAAACTTACTTGGTTTTACTCTTAGTTGAACTCCACTTACAAAGGTGAATTTTCCTCCAGAGGCAGAATTCACACAGTCTTTGTTTTCGCAACAAAAACCTCGAGCTTTCTTTTTTTACGTGGCTTCAAACAACAACAAACGTACAGTCTTCCCAAGTGAGTTCCTTGACAAATTCATCATACATTTCCTTTGAAGATGTTCCTAATCGGCCTTTAAACTTTGACAGAGACCACCAACAACTGTACATTTTCTCCTTCATCCATACAAGAAAAGATGCAAGAATTACTAGCAAACTGCACTTTCAACATTAGATCAGCCTTCAAATGGCCCTCCTGCACACTGCACATTCCTTCCAAGTGTCTTTCCTGATTCCAATGCTCTGATCTGCCCAAAAATACACCCTGCTTATTCCATTTTGCTTCCTTTACAACCCACGAGTTTTGCCAATGAAAATGTGAACTTTTTGTTTATCAGCAGGGGCACAAACTTCAGCTTCTAACCTAGACAAGGTTCTGGAGAATGGAAATAAAAGGGTAATGAGGGTACCTGCAGTTCCTGAGATTTCTAGGAACATGAAATGCTGAAGGATAACAGTAACGAAGGTGGGACTCCTCTCCACACTCACAGAAATCTGTAACTGAGTTGTTTCTATAGAAAAAGAAACATTCAGCATGCAGACCTTTGGGAAGGATGCTCTCTGTCCTGCAGTTGACCACGGACATTAGTAGAGGCTTCCCAGAAATGCATTGCTCAGTAACCTGTATTAAACTTGTTTTGATTATCTGCAAATGAAACAAAGCATTTAGCTGTCGATACGACAGAAAAGCTGAAAACTGGACATTCTTGTAAGACTTTCCCATTACTTCTAAACACCTGTTCAGCTATATATTTTCTTCCTGACTCAAGGTCAGACTTGACTTCTGATCATCCACAAAATGAGAGGACAGCAGAATTTCAAAGGCATTCACACAGAAAGGAGAATTTGACTCTTCCATCACTTCTCACTCAGGCTGTTTCTACCTACCAGGTTTCACCATCAGCTGTGTTCCACTTCCAAAGGTAACTTTCCAGTTGGATGTTGAAGACACAGTGATACATTCACTAACAAAAACCCCACACAACTTCTGGTCCAAAAAAACAACTTCCTGTTCCTAGTGATATCAAGAGAGAAAGCAGGTACCACCATTATCACGTACCCCTGGTTCTGCGTTGGGATAATTCCTTACGCGTTTGCACAGAAGTGCAGATGGGAATGGATTTGCATTGCATGAGTGGAAAATGAGGCAGAGTAGCCCATTAGCACAACTCCACTGAAATTCCTTGCTTAATTTATATGTAGAGCACTTTTTGCCACAGTCAGGAAGACTGGCAGGAAAAATCTCAGCCTTAAGTTAATACTGAAAAAAGGGTCTTTGTTTTAAGATGTATTAGTTTGCTGCTTCTCCCAAAGGTGACTTTCCAGGTAGATCCAATTTTCCCATGGTTGTAAACACCTATGCAAAAAATTTGCCAGGAAAACTTGGGGGAGACAAGTCTGAGCATTTAGAAGCCCGAACACACTGTTAGATACAGTTGTAATGGAGTGGAATTTCCAGCAGTTATTTTGGACAACACAGCAGCTTTTAGTGCTTCTCTCATTGGGAAACCTGGATAAACTCCTTCACTCTTAGTCAGTCTCAGCAGATAAGCAACATAAAGAAAGAGTCATAAAGAAAGAAGCCACAATAAACCAAACGGAAGGAAAGTCCCAGAGAAAAGGATTTGCATCCTATTTTTTCTTGTTTATTCAGTGGGCAGTAAGGCAGGTGAAGGATTCAAAATAGACCTAAGTCTCAGAAACCAGTTTCACATAACAGAAGTTGATTGTGAATCCTCATCTCAAACAGATCTTCCTGTAGGATTCGCTCTGACCAACATGATATTTCCACAACACAGAGGTAATTCATGTATTTTAGCAGAACAGTAGTAACTCAGATTAGTTTCAGTCACATCAAGGGGACGGAGAAGTTACAGGTGAGTTATTTAGAATGTGCACTTCTTCCCTATGCCCTCTTCCTTTTCATTTATAAAAGTCCTTCCCTCTGTATTTTAAGGAGAATGTACTGCAAACAAACAAATACAGCAAACTAAGTACTCTGTTTTTAGGTGACTGTGCTTGTGACAAGATACCTACTGTGCTTCACCAGCAGCCTCGTTCCTCTTCCAAAGCTGAGCCTGTCTGCGCTTCCTGAATAAACACAGTCAAAATCTCCTTGGCAAAAAAAAAAAAATGTCTCATGACTGGGGACTGGAGTTGTCAAAATAGAATTGTAGAATCAGGTTGGAAAAGATCAAGTCCAACCACCACCAACCTACCACTACTAAATTCACCACTAAACGTCATATCCATATGTTTCTTAGTACTTTTGTAGTACTAGGTACAGACTCCAGCACTTCTCTTGGTAGACCTCGAACTAAAAGTTCCAGCACACACTCATCCTGCCCTAAAAGTAGAGGATGTGGATCCCTTACAAGGATCACTGTGAAGTACCATTTCCAAGCACCACATTTGCCAGCTCTTCTCAAAGCCATTTGTTCAGAGCATGCACTTACTCACTGTAACGCTGAGCCTTGTTCCTCCGCCAAACTTCAGCTCCTTGTAGCTGCCTCCTGCAGTCACACATCATTTAACTCCTTTGAAAATACCTTTCCTGTTCTGCAACTGTGCATTAAGCAGGGAAACACCTTATCTGTGATGAGTTCTGGACAGGAATGGACCAAGATGACCCCAACCCCAGTCTTATTCAGCCCAGCAAAGAATTTTCATGAAAAATATTTCCACCTGTGAGCCCCCTCGACAAGAAATTTTATCACACTCCTGACTACAAGGCTTCATTCTCAATTCCTAATTAACAGTTCAGATCTTACATGCAGATTAAAACATAAATGGAAAAGAAAAAAGAGAACTTGTGCTTACAGGCAAGTAATTAACTGTATTCTTAATGAATTAGCATAAAGGATTGCATGTCTCAGCTTTTCATATGCATTAGTTCTGCAGTTTCACATACATATAAGAAAACGACTTTTACTTTAAGGTTTTTAGCAATGCAGTAATGAAGATGTCATGAACTCAACCTCACAATTTGTTTTTTCCCAACACTTCTTAGGTTTCCCTTCTCATCACCAATGTCCCTCTCCCAGCTTACACAAGCACACACAGTTTTCCTCCATTTTGGAACTGTAGTTGCTTGCCATTGATTTCAGTAGAGTCATGATTCCTCAACTACTAATATAAGGCAAAATCCATCAAGAATGCTGTTTTGATCTCAAATGAGAAGTTAGATTTATTACAACTATTTAGGTGGACCCCTGCACAACAGAAGAAAGAAAATAGTGAATAAGGTTCCTACAGGACCTGAGATTCTTAATATAATATATGAAACAAAATGACACTCTACAGGCTAGCACTCCATACCAATAAGAGCTGGGGGCACCTCCAGAGGAATTTTGAAAAACATTGGACATTTTTTACTGTAATTCAGAGCAAGTGAACTGTCCCTTCAAACATTAGTTTAATATCCTTTGTTAAATCTCATCACCTGAGTGTGCTCAATCCTGGCACTCTTTCTTAGACCAGTTTGCAGAAGAATACATTAGGAATTGCTGTTTCTACTGGGAAAACAGGCACACATTGAAAAAACTCCTTGATGACACTGACTGTGTCATGATTTACTTTTAGCTTTCAGCTGCTCTCCTACTGCACTTTATCTTCACAGCTAGACAGATCTGTAAATCCCAATAACTATGACAAGAAGCAGGTAAAAGCAATCAAGAAAGTGCTGTTAACTAGCCCACGCTTATTGGCTTCACAATTGATGGTGTGCTTTGCCCAAATACCTCTGTTCTTCTTCCTGCAGTTTCACTGCCCAAAAATCTTGTAAAAAGTCAGCTCTGAAGTCTGAACTTAAGAATTTCTTGGCTAAAAACCTCCCTGTCACACCAGGACCTGACTGTAAGGCAGAAGTTGTGACTTTTGGAAGATAAAATAGAAAAAATATATAGCTAATCTAATATTTTAAATGTTATCTGGATTGTTTTTTTTTTTCATTTGCCTCTCAAATATTTTCTTTGAATTAAAGTCACAAATTGCAAATTCCTGTTCCCTTCTTGAATGATTGTTCTGACTTCTTTCTGGTGAGAGAGGATAAAGTTCGATTTATTCTGCAGATTTCAGGTATATTCACCTGTTATGTGTGCATAAGCACGAGTGACCTTTTAGTCACAAAGATTCAATGGACAATGAAGTCAGTCATCTTCACAAAACAAGATTTTAAGTATCTCGGTATTTGAAGTAAAGGGCAGTCAATTAAGTTTGCTAATTACTTTTCTACTTAATATTACACGGGTGATAGAACAGCTGTGAACAGGCCTTGCTGAAGTATCAGAATACACAGAGAATTTGTAGTGACAGTCCTGAAAAAGTGCCTTCACTTTGTCCAATATACCGCTTGTAAATAAAAGCGTGTCACTGAAGGGCTTGGATACAATCTCCTTTCTAAGGTACCTCGCTGTAGTTTTAAGGGGAGAAGAGAATTCAGCAGAAAGCTGATACTAAGCTGTCTGATTTGTATTGCTGCACACTTTCAGGATGGATCTGCACCCATTGGAGAGGCACTGAAAGAAGGCAGCTACGGCCAGGGCACAGGAACATTTTTGCATATCCAGCTCCACTGAAGATGTGTGGCTGGAACTGGGAATATGCTGAAGCCGTATGATTTCAGATCACTCTTTTTACTCACTTGCAAGCACAGACAGGTGAGTTCCTCCACCAAAAGTTATCCTTCCGTAGCTGCCAGGAGCTCACTGTGACAAAGCGCTTTACATAAACTGCAGATTCTGAATCACTGCTGAACTACAGAGTTAAATGCTGTCATTCCAAAATCCTTAGAACCAGTATGTCCTTCTGTGCTGACCGCTGTTTGCTTTAGCAGGTTAAAAACATGCTGAACCAGACCTTATCACAAACAGCATAACACTTTGCTACCCATGTCAGTGCGTGTTTGAGGCCTGTAAAAACAAAAAAGTTTCTCCCAATTGAGAGATTTCAAATCAAATATAGATATAAAATGAGGGCTTCATTTAGCATGCAATATTTCCATGCAAACATTATTATGCCAGCATGTTAATTTTAAAGAGGAAAAAAATATATCTTAATTCTTCCTTACTTGTCACCCTTCTAGGACAGTACATTTGGAAAGTTGGAAGATGAAAAATTAATACTGAGAAGTTTTTCAGCCTTAAGGGTACTACACAGCACAGTCACTACATTCCTAAACACAAGATCTGCAAACAGATTTAATGTCTAGAAACAAACAAGCAAAATATTGAAGTGAAATGCATAAAGCTGCTTTGACGTAGCAAGCTGAACCTCGGAAACTGAAGCTGGATGGTAAAGGCTGGTGTATGAAATTCTTTCCTTCTTCACTTACTTGGTGTTATGAAAAGATTTGTTCCTTGGCCAAAGGTTGCAGCCCTCGAGTTTCCTGTATTCACACAGCCAACAAGTGCTTTACAAAAACCATCCAGAGAAATACCTGCATCTCGTTAACTCCTCTCCTAGAAGAAAACTTAATTAAATTCAGTCAAGAATGCTATCTGATGATGTCTATAGTTTATTACTGAATTTGTCATTTGGCTTAGCTAAGGAGATGACCCTCAACAAGCTATATATAAATGTAAAAGCAATAATACCTATAGATGTCTGCCTCCCTTTTATTTTCACTACGTTGGAAACTAAGTGATTTCATCAATTATTGCTCCATTGCTTTCAAACCTCTACAAGGCCTTTCTTCACTAGGAAAAAACACCTGATTTACCCTCAGTTTATTTGCTTTCCCAAAGGTGAATGTAGTGTTACTTTTCTTCACAGAAGCCCACATGGTGCTGCATTTGGGATTTCTGATGAAAACAGTACTGCTACCAAACCAACGTTATAACCGTTGCTGGGTGATGTTGACACCAAGTCAAGATCTTTTCAGCTTCTCAGGCTGCCCTGCATGCAGGAAGGCTGGCAGTGCACAAGGAGCTGGGAGGGAGCACATCCAGGATGGCTGACCCAAACTGACCAAGGGACATTCCATGCCCTGAGCACTGAGCTGCTGGGGGTAACCTGAATCTGGTTTTTGCCAAATTTATGGAATTCACACCCACAGAGCTTTACAAGATCCCATCGACAGCAAGCTTTTGACCCAAGGCAGGATTTCTCCAATTCATAATTTCCATTTCATTGCAAAACTAGTGGAAATCTTTGTTTGGAAGTGGGTTTATTGCATTGTTTTGTCCCTCCTGCTCCCCTAGCCTTCACGTGCTGCAAAGAAACTGAGAATCTGGACTACGTGTTCAAGGATATTACATGTCTTGTGACAGACCAGGTGTAAATCCTGCACATTAAGTTCAGCACCGACGTCCGAGTGCCTTTCCATAATTAGTAGAAATACACAGGCATTTCTCATGCCTTATGTATGATTCTCAAGCCTTTTATATGAATTCTCATCATATAAAAGCAAACAAACAAATAAAATCTCTTTCAGAAAAAATCAAACAAAGAAAAAAACATATAAATCCATTGATGGAAATAAAAGTAAAAAATCACCTTTGGCTAGAAGACTTGACCATAGATGTTCAGTTTTAGAGACTAAACCTGGGCTTTCAAGACAAACAATAACACTCACTTACTCTTCTTAAAGAAGATTTCCTCATGAAGTTATCATTAGATCCCTAATTGACAAAGCTGCTCTCAGCTTCACCAAACTCTGCTTTTGAGATAATTTTTTTTAAATTCACTTGGATGAACAGACAGGCTTATCCTCTTGCCCTGTGTCACCATTTCATTAGCATGCATGAAGTTACTGTGTGACAAAGAGCTTTATCAAACATTCTGACAGTAGGATAGGGGAGTTTTTTGGCTTTGATGTGTACACATACATCTCCTGAGGGTTTCTTCTCAAATGTCCTAAATAAAAACCCCTCATGACAATTCATTTCTTTGCTGCCTTTTCTCTACATCATGTGCTGTGGGATCCTCTCTCACAGCCCAGTTCATATCTATCACAGGGCATAAAGTAGTTCTGTTGTTCTGCAGTAATTACTCAGCCTTCCACAGCAGCTGTTAACTGTGTGGTGAAGGTGGGTAAGCCTAAGCAGGACGGGAATTTTTTCTATAGCACCTTCTGCATCCGCCCCAGTCAGTGATATCCCATCGTACACCAACCTGCTGCACTGAGACAGCTAACACTGAAACTCCTCATCCAGCATGGCCTAAACTCAACAATGAAACAATGATATTTCTTCACGTGGGTCCTTTCTTTCAGATCCCCCCAATTCTCCTGACCAAAATGACCAAAAGGATTTATTCCTATTCCAGATACAAATTTGCGTTCCTTATGTCATTCTCGTGTTTTAGGGAATAGAGAATGGGAGAGTGGGGAAACGCTTCCATTAACTTCCTTTGTAGCTGAAATTAAAGATGATAGGCACTCTAAAAGCAAATCAGTTTTGCTGCCTATGTTTTCAATTCAGTAGATGAAAAAGAGCTTCCTAGAAACAGGCATTGCACCCCCAAAATTCACTATTATCCTCTTCTTGCTCACACATGACTAGCTACACATAGTAAGCCTAAAAACTGAAGTGCTAGCATTAGAGTGAATTATATTCTGACAGTTTTTTATTCCAGTAGAGTTTCTTTCTTCTTCTTCCAGAATATTCACTTGAGTTTAGCTTCAGAAATGTTTCTGTCTCAAAGTTAATCACAGTCACTTGCAGCTTTTCCATTACAGTGAACTACCTCAAAATGCCACTCAGATCTTACATGTGAAAACTTATGAATGCCATCCAGAACTTTGTGATGCCCATCAGCCCATTTCTCCGTTTGTTGAAATCCTGCTGAATGACACCATGACTCTTGCCCTTCCCCCTGTTTTCTGTCACCAGGAAACTCAGCATCCTTAACAAAGATTTTAGGCAGTACCTGGGGCTGACCCCTTGGGTACAGCAATAGTTGCTGGCCTCCAGCTGGCCTTCATGATCCTGGTCACCACACTCCAGGCCAAGTTGCTCAGCTGGTTTTCAACCTACAGCACTGTCTGCTCATCCATCCCATACATCAATAGCTTGTTTATGAAGTTTTTAGAGGACACAAGCCTGAAAGCCTTCCTGACGTCAAGGTAGACAAAATCCACTGCTCTGTCTTAAATTAAGAAGACTTAACCTATATTTAAGGGGAAACAAAAATAAAAACTGGAAAAAAAATCAGAAATTCTTAAACTGAGTGGGATCTAGTGTCAGTTATACACCCTGACAAAAATTAAGTAGATATTTGCCACAAATGTTTTTAGCTACTATAGAAAGTTTTGCAAAGACTCATTGGGGTTTAAAAGCTATAATTAAAAAAAAAAAAAAAAAAAAAAAAAAAAAAAAGAAAAAAAAAAAAGGAAAAAAAAAAAAAAAAAAAAGACACAGCAGGCAAACACATCTAGTTATTCTTTGAATCTCACAAGCTTCTAATCCTATCAAGTTGCTGATGGGAAGAGAAGAAGTGTCCAAGGAAAAATCTAACGCCTTTTCTCAAATTTAACTTCATATCCATCCCCAGAGTGCAAACTGTCCAAGCCTGTGCTTCTCTCTTTAAATAAACAGTAACATTCAAACCTTCCTAGAGACTGGACTGGCAATCATGACCAGCAATCATACAAGCAAGAAAGTGGTTATGAATTTACAGAACCAAATCAGACTGAAAAGTTTTTTAGCAATGATCTCAGCTGGTGCTGGCTTTGAAAATTAATACCCACCACTGGCTAATTTAATCATAATGCAATTTAAATGCACTGAGAATTATATGATACATTTTATGCATCATATTATATCCTTATGGATGCAGAAGTTTTTCTTCCATTCTTACCTGACTGAACCTTCTGGTTCTAAATACCCCTCTGGGAAGATGCTTCATCACTGTGTTCAACTACAGCTTACACAGTACCCAGTGTGAACAGGATTTTTATTCAACCCTTCTTTTACTTCACAAAACTGATGGAAATACGATTTGTGCTCCTGGCAGTTCTCCCCATGTTTGTCCCTTGGAAATGTCATCCTCATTTTCCTATCGTTAAAGCACAGCATCTTACCCGAAAGCACCGTGTGAGGTACAGCCCGCACAAATATGGTCTTGTCAATGACTGTACGCACTGTAGCTCAGCCCTTTACAAAAACAGGATGTCCATCCACACTCTCCTGACATTTAAGAGGTTTACATCACGATTTCTTGTCACGTAAAGATAGTGATCATTTGATATTTAAAGCAATTTGAGAAATTCCTTCATCTGCTGAGGAGAACAATTGGTAGAAGTGATGATATAAATTAATCACCCCGTAACTCTGCTAACATAACTCAACATCAGTAAATCTGATTTACGTATTAAATGGTTCTTTCTGAGCTGCACTGCATATGCAATCTGTACTAAAGCCAAAGACTTTCAGCTAAAAACTGCCTGAGGAGTGGGAAGGAATACTGTCCAATTCCCTACGGGATGAAAAGCAGTAGACCAAATCACTTGACATTTTGAAGTATCTATTTCTAATGCAGAAATAAAACAGAATTAGAATCAAAAGCAGTCCAACTCTGTCTTTCTGCATAAGGCATCCCACCCAATCCCAATCGTTTTGGTGCATAAAGAGTTTTAAAGAATTCCTCTACATCATTTCACACACAGTGGACCACAAAGGATAAATCATTTTAGCAGAGTCATGTAGCAAATGACCGCCCCACAGAACAGTCTTCCCGTCCTCCTACCCCTTGGTTGCACCCAATTACCTCTGATCAAGAGCACAGCTTCTGGGTGGTGTCTTGCACCTCCATGTAGTTATTATTGATTGCAGTACACCTAATGAAAAAAAAAGGACCACCCAAATTAAAAATCCTTTTTGCCAAGGAGGAATCTTAATTCTTTAAATCTCCAAAAAAGTAAAGACTCTGTTTTTGTCAATTTTGTCCCAAGAGAAGTTCCTTGACAGCAACAAAGAAACGGACCTGTTTCAAGAGACAGCCAGGTCCACAGGCAGCACTTTCCAGAGTGAGAAACCCCTGAGCAGAAATGCTCTCAGCATTCAAAGGAACAATTACTCGACGTTCAAAGGAACAAAGGGTGTCACCATGCCAACGCCGCTCCTGTTGTCTCATCCGCAGCCTTCCTAGACGCAGCGATTTGCTTTCTAATTTCTTCCTCCCAGGGCACCAGACAGCTTGGCACCTAATATTCGCCCGCCTTCTCATCAGTGCCTTCATTTACTGAAACCAGAAAGCTCTACTGCATTCCTCACTGTTTCAGACTTTGTCCTTGTTTAGCAAGACACCCATAGCCTCAAAAGACCCAAATGTTCAGACTGCTGCTGCTTGTTTTCTTTAATTTACAGTTCAAAGTTCCCTTAGAAGGACCAACATATTTCAAAAGCAGTTCTGCAAGCCTTTGCCGTATTCTACTTCATTTCATTCTAAAGAAGTCACTTTTCTGTACAACAAACAACTTTATCTTGCACCTCCAAATAGGGCATATTTGCATCTCAGTTCAGTTATTCATCTTCTTTCACATACACACGTCTGGCAGTGGGCTTTTTAAAGCTTATTTCTCATATAACAAGAGTTTTCATCTGCACTGGTCGGCAATTTGAGAATGCAAACTCAGAGCAGGTAAGTTTAATCCGTGGCATGTGCAGAGGCAACAGTCACTTCATTTTGGTTTGTTTGATCTTGCTTTTTGTGTTTGTGTTGTTGGGTTTTTTAAACTATTTTCTTTGTAGGTTGTTTTTTTGTTTTGTTTTGGTTTTGGTTTTGTTTGTTTGGTTTTTTGCTTTTAGTTTTGTTTGCTTTTTTTTTTTTTTTTCTTTCCCATTCAACTTATTTATTGAAATTCATCAAATATAAAAGCAGAAAAATTAACACTCCAACCAGCAGGTAGCAGGAGAGATCAAGGAAAGAAATTCAGTTCACATCAACATGCCTGATTTTATGTGGAACAGTTTAGTATTTCAGGCAAATAGAGCACACAGATGAGAATATTATCAGAAGAGGCCAGCACTATTCCTATTGTATTCATAATGCTGTATAAAATACCATAAGGATTCAGTTCCACAAAAGGATTTTTTTTTCATGCTTAAAATTAAAAAAAAAAAAAAAAAAAATGTTTAAAATAATAGCAAGAGAACAATCAGTTTATCAGCTCTATAAACACTTAAAACATCTATAAAAAGTTGTATGGCTGAAAGTGAAATAAAGCCTGATTTTCCATCTCAAAGTTTAAGAGGAAAAGGGCAGACTGTTCGAATCCAATTCACTCCCTCAAGAAATCATTTTGAGATTTTTTACCCCATTCTCATGCATTCTCGTTACTTTCAGCAAGTTAAAACCAAGAAGTACTGGGTTTTGCTCTGAGAACCCTTCAAAATATTTGCATACTCCATAAATTTCTGGGATGTGGACAGAAGGAGAACAGATCAGTTGAATCATTGGCTGCAGGGATGGCACTGTGCACAGGGCTTTGGTTTCTGTGGTCCAGGACACACCTTCAATAGACCAGACATGTTGAGTTGGTTGGGATGCAGTGACCGGGAGGGACAGGAACATATGAGGCAGCAAAATGGCTGTGCTTATCACCAGGGCTTTGAACTGGATTTGATGGGAGAAGTGGATCAGTGCTCAGTGAGTAGAGCTAGGGAACACAGTCAGTTTAGGAAGCAGGAGGGGAAATCTCAGGGAAATTGGGATGGGCTCCTCCAGGAAGGAAACACAACAGCCCAGCTGAAGTGCCTCTACACCAGTGCATGCAGCATGGTAAATGAGCAGCAGGAGACAGAATACTGTGATTAAGGGCTACAAGCTTTTTAGAAGAGAGAGGCAGAGCAAGAGGAACAGTGGAGTGGCTTTCTTATTCTTTCTTTTCTTTCTTATTCTAAGAAATAAGTTGCATAAACAGCCATGACCAGGTTGAGAGCTTGTGGTTTAAAATTAGGTACCAGTCCAAGGAATCTGGCAGTTAAAGTCTGATACAGGGTACCTGATAAAGCAATCCTATTGATGAGGCCTTCTTGCTTCAGCTGCAAGAAGTGCCATGCTCACAAGCTCTCATCCTGGTTGGGGATTTCAATCACCCAGCTATCTACTGGGAAAACAACATGACGAGCTGCAAGCAATCCAGGAGACTCCTGGAGTCTTTTGAGAGTAACTTCTGGGTCCAGGTTTTGTTCAGACTAATCAGAGGTGAAGCATTAGTGGAGATTATTAAGGAGGTTATGATTGCAGGCAGCCTGAGCTGTAGTGAAGATGCCCTGGTCAAGTTCATGATCTCAAGGAATTTGAGCCTGGCAAAGAGCATAGTCAGGACCCTGAACTTCTGGAGAGTCAACTTCAGGCTGTTTAAGGAATTACTGGATTATATCCCCCGGGAAACTGTCCTTAGAGACAGGATCAGAATAAAGCTGGCAGCATTTTAATGACACCTTTCTAAGAGTGCAGTAGTTCACAGTGTAAGAAATCAAGCAGAGCAGATGGGAAAGGAGCATGGCTGAGCATGTACCTGCTGGTCAAACTGGGGGATAAAAAGGAAGAATACAGGCAGTTGAACCAGGGATGGTGTGCTGGGAAGAATGCAGAGATGCTGCCTGTACATGCAGAGATGAGATCATGAAAGTCAAGGTGGAGATGGAGCTGAACTTGGTGAGAGTTGTGAAAATAACAAGAAGGGATTCTACACACACATTGGTTAAGAGACAGGTCAAGGAAAGTGTACTCTTTCTGAAAAGTGAGATGAAAGAACTGGCTTCAAAAGACATGGAGAATGCTGAAGTACCAACACTTTCTTTGCCTCCTTCCTCACTGCCAGACAGGCTCCTCATGTCTCTCATGTCCCTGAACCTCCAGGTGTGGGTAGGGGAAGCTAAATCTCTCCCTCTGTAAGGGCAGAAATGTCAGAGACCACCTCATGAGGTTAAACTTGTACAACTCTATGGGTCTGGACAACATCCATTCCAGGGTCCT